ATAGTGAACAGTCTCAAGCTAAGACGAAATGGTTTCTGAGTACTGCCTTGTTTTTAAATGTTTCCTTAACTCATATCAGCTTATTATGTTACTTGAAACAATTCATGATAGGCAACAAGGAATAAAAAACTTCCGAAAGGTGAAATAAACTTAATGCTCTAAGCTGCTATTCGAAACACTTAGTTCCATTTAAGAATTTCGGCAAAATGTCAAGAAGACGTGATTTATCTAAAATCGTGTAATTTATTTGCTCAAAACATTTTGAACAGTCGGATCACATGCCTACTTATCACAGGTATATACATGAAAATAATAAAATATTAGTCGGTGACAGAATAGACATAGGTCAAGTTAGAAGGCTAGAAGGATATCATTAAACCAAAGATGGGAGATAAGTGCATATCTGTACTGGTATCAAAAAAAACAAAGTTTACCAAAGAAGGTTTAATGTAATAACGAACTGGTTTTTAAACACATTAAGATGGTTTAAACTTCCAGATCGCTAGAGCCCCACAAACTTTAGGATACGTCTCAGATATGTTTTATAAGTAGGGTTTAAAAGAGACGTATACATGAATTTTACATCCTATCTCTTTAATAAGTTTCGTAACAGAAGAGCCAGGTCATTTGTTTTCGCTATTAATGGGTTCAAGGGATTCGGCATACTCTAGGAGCCATTTAGAGATATGCTCTGAAGCCTTTACTTTCAAAAAAATCACTGGACCCTCCCTATGTATGTATGTATGACGACATGCAGATAAAACACGGTAGTTGCAGTTAGATGTGACATAATTTTTCGCTTGCTTTAAGGGCTAAGATGGATATGTAGGCTTCTTATCCCCAATTATTCTCGTCTAAGCTACATAAAAATCTCCCTGTCTAGTTACCAAGCTGTTACAATCACCCAGTTAAAGCAGCCTGATATACACGTCATTCTTAGAGACGAGTTGAATAATAGCTCTGAACACTGTATATCTCTATACGAACTTTTCCGGACAATTATTGTCAACCAGAGTTATTGCCAGTTTTCTTAACTCATCTTCAAATGAACCCTCTATGCATATATATTGATTCCTACTGAGTAGAAATGTGTTGCTCAAATACATTACACGATTCACATAAATTATGTCTTCTTATCGTTTTGTCGAAACTATGAACTATGTATATTATCGAGTGTGGTGGAGAAGATTTGTAGCTCAGGTGGATGATTTTGATGTGGTTGTGTTCTCTGAGCTAGCTGGATAGTTTATTCGCGAAGCTTTCAATGGCCTACTAGGCAACACCTTCAGTGCATACTTCAATTCGTTAAAGTAAGCTTTTAGATTTCTCCACGAGTTTAGCTTATTAGTCATTTCTTCTGATGGATGACCTTCAACGTCGTGATTGATTTATTTTTGTGTGTTTTCACATCTTCTAGGCAGCTAATTGTATTAGAGCTAACTGTTTCCTTGAACATAAATTTCCCACTTTGTGTGTAAGATTTCTCTCGTGTTGATCGGCAAATTCTGTTGATTGATGATTCATTGGAATACCACGGTGCTGAGAAAAGCATAATGTAAACCGCCCCACCGTGTATAAAGAGCATCTCAGAAATAATTGCAAGTCGCTTCAAACCTTTAGGAATTGAAGTCTCACACAAACCAACAAAATTACTTCACTCAGTTCTTTCTCAGCCGAAAGACTCAACAACAAAAGAAGATGAGACCAACATCATCTACAAAATAAATTGTAACTGCAAAAAACTCTAAATTAGCCAAAATAGACATTCTCTTCGTTTTCGCAACCACTAACAAAAACTGGCCTTCAATACACAAGATGTTTACTCTCGCATATGGCCTCACTGCATACAGATAACCACGGACATCAATTCAATTGGACTGCCAACGTTCAAATATTAGACAGAGGAAACACCAAAATTGCTAGGGAATTTTTAGAAGCCTGATATTTTAATGAATCGGCAGTAAACAGGCACACACAAAGGGTCAAACATCAGCTCAAGGAAACAATCAGTATCGATGCAATACAAGTTGCGTGGAGGTTGTGGAAGCACACGAAAACAACCAATCATGACGTTGAGGGTCACCGACCAGAAGAGATGAATATTAAACTAAACTCGTGGGGAAATCTAATGGCTCACTTAAACAGATTGAAGTAAACGCTGAAGGTGTTGCCTAGTGGGGCAATGAAAGCTTAGCAAATAAACTATCCAATCAGCTCAGAGAACACAGTCACATCGAAATATTCTTAAATAACTGCTACGATTCACTGGCGTTAATGTTAACGAGACATATCTGGGACATCTATGAAACTGTCACTGTAGGTAATAATTCAAAATATACGAATGTAATTTATAAAGGGATTTACTTTGAACATCAGGAATAAAATTTCCTTCGTAGCAGGTGAACGATACTCAAAATATAATAAATTTCTGAAAATATTTAAAAGATAGTGAACTGTCGTATCGGAGAGCTCATTAAAGATTTAAAAAAAAAACTCTAACAGCTTAATGTAACAGACAAAAAAGTCATCTAAGGAACATTATCAAGTTTTATGGAGACTGCCACCACTGGTCATTTCATCTGAACAATCGCCTCCTTCAAGGGAATCTTTCTAAAGTGAAGAAGAACCTGCCAAAGACAATACGTTTCCGTCTTCTTTGCACTTCAGAAGCCCTAGCCATTTAGTAAGAAGAACCAGAACTATGCATACAAAAACAAAATAATTTAACCACTTCTACTATCATGGTAACAACTCTATTGATTTGATTTAACATTTGCCTGTATGCTTGATTTTCTAACTACCTAAAACTCTTGCGTAATCCCGTATGTTATTTTGTTTCCATGTTCACCCTGAGCACAACTCTTTCATCAAACTGTACATGTCACTACGCAACTCTTCTTTAACAATCGACTGTGACATCTAATTGTGATTCATGACAAAATAATGGGTTTTTTTTCGATGTGACTTCTCTATTCACCCAGATCCCTCTGCATGAGTCAGTAGACATAATGTGTCAACACTATTATCTTCTTCCTTTACCAAAACTGGAATTTAAGCAGCTTCTTGTGTTATGTACTAATGATATACAATTCCAATTTGACAACAGATGTATCGCCAGGTTGATGGCGTCGCAATGGGGAATCCACTGGGTCCTATATTAGCTGATATCTTTATGATCAGTCTGGAGCAGACAAAGCTCATGTGTACAGTTGGTGAAATAACAGCCTACTACAGATATGTTGATGACACATTCATTGTATGCAATGATTTGAGTCACTCTTTGTCTCTATTAGACTCTTCTACAATGAACACACTTTCACAATGAAAAATCTCGTAAATCAGACGTAAAGTTGGAGAGAAAATAAGACGGGACACTCGAAAGAACTGTATATTGTCAAAACACATGCAGTTGTCTTTACTTGAATTTCAACAGCTTCTGTCCAGTGAAATACAAACGAATGGTGGTGAAAACGTTTTTCAATAGAGCGAAGAGAATATGTTCACCAAACAAACTAGACAGTGAACTAATGCTTCTTGAAAAATGCTTGGAAAAAATGGTTGCCCACAAAGTTTCGATAACAAATATGGCAAGAATAAACTCATGAAGCGCGATACAGCTACAGTCAGTAAGAAGCCTATTTTCATCAAACTCGACTACAAAGGCGACGACATTATGAGAATGGTAAGTGCAAGATCAAGCGCAGCCCTGGCTAGGACGTATCCTGAAGCGTTATTAGTCTCTCTATCCCTAGCAACCTCTTCACTGGTGCAGCCAAAGATTGACAAGTACCCCTCACATGTTACCTACAACTGTGTATATCAATTGACATGTATCTGCAGGAGCACTTACATTGGAAGAACAAAGAGGAGGGCCTAGGTCAGATTCTGCGAACATGTACCAAGGAGCGAGCCTCCGGTTAAAGGGACCGAATTGTTTAAGCTCTTCAATCGCCGCCAAACACCTGATTGACTCAAGACACTGAGTAGATCTGTTAAAATCATTCAAAATAACAAAATGAACATACAAAGTACCCCAAGTCTTCTCAGGTTTGCTGAAGCTATAGCAATAGAACGATTGAATCCTGACTTATGTGTCCAAAAAGAACCTTTTATTGGACTTCATTTACCTTGGTGACTCACTTCTTAGTTGTACACAGCTGATAAGAAGCAACGAAATAAAATGGATCTAGATTATTCTGCGCCAATGTTTCTTCTTTCTTTGTTCCAATATATAAAAATGAATCATTGTGTGAGACATCTAATTACTTTTGTTACTACTCACGTATATCAACATCCAATTCCTCTGAACGTCTTTTGTCTTATGTTACTTCACCGAAAACTTATTAACTGCATTTCTTCTGGAAAGTTTTATGTACACACATACAAAATAACTATGTATATGTGCGATTGTACAGCTGTGAAAATGAATTGTCCGTCGAAAAGAGACTGTTCGCTGAACTACTGGTTTTCTGTCTACCCGTATATTCACTAGATGAGCTAATAAGAAAAACCCACTCCCTCAGATTCTGTTTAATAAACTTTGGGAATCAATTTTACCTATTTTAGCAGCGCATTTGTTTGCATAAACCGCTGGAATCATTCATCTCGGAGGAGTACTCACAAAGTGAAGTTAAGCCTTTACGGCAATATTTATTAACTGATAAGACGGTCTAAGATTGACTATGTAGTCAACCATTGGCATATAAATGTCTCCACTTGTGTTGAAACTGATTATTCGTAGCACAGGAAGTGTTCTTCCTTAGTTCAGTGGATAATTGCTATCCAACCAAGCACATGATCCGGTCTCGGTTCCTGGCAGACGAACTTCTAAATCTAGCCTAGCTAAAAGTAAGCCGCGAAGATTGTGAAGGTTGGATGAGCGACCAGTAGTTGCCCACCCCCACTCATCAGAACAATGCCAACACTGCAGTGACCCTAAAGTCTTGGATTTCAATCGGAGTACGAGGGATGAAAAGCAACATACTTGGACTTTTACTTACCGCAATAGATTTATCATCTTTCAACAATTGTTCAACTGGTAGAATTGTACCTCCTTTTTGTCGTTTCTGAAAATGATTCATGATGAAATTAGATTTTATTATATCTGATGAATTGAATAATTTTCTCCATTCAATTAAATCCACTGAAGGTGATGCATCTATTGTACACGGGAGACGTCCTGGACCATCTTTTCCTAGATATATTGGATTCTCTGTAGTGTTGAAGTGAACTCTTGGAATATCTATGACAAAATAAAGTACATTTGCGCATATAATAAATAATTAAATAGGTCATGCATGGTAGAAATTGATTATATGTACTCAAAAGTTTGGCATAAACAATAAAACTATTAAAATATGTTACCGTTTCTCTGCTTTCTATAGATAGTTAGCTTATGAATGAAGACAAGCTATGTGAGAAGAACACAATTCCCTCATTATAGGTGTTGCAATAGCTATCCTGAAATATTTCAGCATTGGTTTGTAGGGATGATGAAATCCTGTAACCATACAGTCAATAGTCGGTGAGATGCTCACTGTCTACTGGCCCTATTGAAATAGGTAGTTACCTGGATTCTAATGAGAAGTCGTGACCAGTGGGGTGCAGCAGGTCCAAAACCTTGCTCAGTTCACAAGACAGTAATGAGCGAAAAACGTTGAGAGGTTTGGTGTGAGGCTAGTGATCCTGTCCAGCATAAAAAAAAATAACACCATCGCTAGCTCAAATGATGCTAGAGAGGAACTCAACCATATTTGAAGAATAATTTTCTTTTCATGCGGGAAAAACGTAACTTGAGGGCATTCTTACCCTGTCACGCTCTTCTACAATACAAATACTGACTTAAAGTTGTAACAAAACCCGAAGGGTCTAACTAAGTTCATAGGAACCATTTGATTTCTTTGTTTCTTAACATAGTTTTGACGGTTTCGCAGCAGAACTGTCACCAACTACACACACACACACAAGGTTTAGGGTTCGATTCCCGATCGAAGAACTCTGAAACCTCGGTAGAGTAACAATATACCAGGCATTGAGAGAAGACTGAGCATGTAAGGTGAGTAATGTTACGCCACCACCACCACCGATCTGCTTCGCAAGTTACTTCTTATCGCTAATCATTTCTGTGTTTTAGAGTAATCATGACCTTTTAGCTTCAGAAGCATTGGCTGTAGTTGGATTCTTTTATGTAACAATAATTGTAGCAAAAGTGACAGTGATTCTAATCGATTCAACATAACCACTTTGCCTGTAGAGTAAAGTAACGGTGAACTTCTTTTGTCTAAAGACTTAGATATTTTGAGTTGAAAAAAAATGTTTGATCTTTCAAGGTCTCCTAAGACTATACTGTAGACACACTGAATTCTTGGAGTTTATGTCAATCACTTACATCCGGTGAAATGGTAAAAGCAGATTAAAAAATTTACATAGTTAAATGTTTCTAGAAAAAAGTGGAGTTGTCGCTTGTTTTTTGTCACACAACCATTAGTGTCTACAATCTACTATTTAACTCAGATTCATTAGTTGAAGTTTTTAAGGGAAGACAGAAGGATAATAGAATGTTATTTTATGTAACAGGTTGTTAGTAATTGACTACAACGTGGAATAATTCGAGTTTTAAGATGCATAGAAATTTCCAAAATACTTCAATTACTAATTAAGGTAGGAGTAATCATAGTGAGAGAAAAAAAGTAAGAATCCACTGTCACCTCAGCGAGAAGTTTCAACATGAAAGTCATTTGTATGTTAATGATCTACTTGGATTTTATTATTATTATTATTTTCAACTTTGTGAACACTGTCTTGCAGATGATGAGCCATTGCGTTACTAAAGATTTGTCCATCTCACAGTAGCAAGTCCCACGAAATACTAGTGGAAATGTGGTCACGTATATTACTCTAAGACTTGTCTTAATTCAACTGTCTCAATGACGGACTGATTCTATGAATACTAAATAATCTTAATACCGAATGGAACCTCTCTATTGCTGCATTTGATTTTTATTCAATTCCCCTTGAAACCATGTCACCTATACAGTCAGTCTTTAGAAAGGTAGACCTTTTCTGAACTGTATGGAATGTTTTACTAAAATGTGGAGCTGTTTTTTTTTTGGTAAAATAGTCCAAGGTATTCTCTTCCTTATAAACTCTTTAAAACAATCTAAGGTTTGATGTTAGATGACTGAAAGCAATCGCCAAAGCAGCTCTGGACCTAGGTTTTGTGTTTGTTGACATTTGACGGATACAACTCAGTGTGCACTCATCCAAGAACTAGGCACATTACATTGGGTGCTACTATCTATGCTATAGTTCTACATGAAGTCAGTAATGAGCACAAATAACTAATTGAGAAAGCCTCTTACTACGGCAGTATGTGACCAGGGTTCGAATCTAAAAGTGGAAGAGAATTCCCTCGAGATAACAGGTACGCCTTGTTGACGAGTGCAAACTAGTGCAAAATGAATTTTTTTGATGTGATTGTGTTCTCTGAGCTAGCTGGATGGTTTATTTGTGAAGCTTTCATTGCCCGTCCTACTAGGCAACACCTTCAGCTCATACTTCAATTCGAATTGAAGTGAGCTATTAGATTTCACCACGATTTTGTTAATCATCTCTCCTGATGGGTGACCTTCAACATAGTGATTAGTTGTTTTTGTGTGTTTTCAGACCCTCTAGGCTACTGGTATTGGAACTGATTGTCTCCTTGACTGAAACTTTGACCCTCTGTGTGTGGAGTTTCCTTCTTATCGGTTGATAAATTTAGTCGGTTGATTGATGAAAAGTAAATTCTACCTAATCTTTTTTCTCCTTTTTTCCGTCTCTTCATTGGTATTATTCTGTCTTCTTAATTGAAATATTTTGCATTTTCAACCCTCTTGTTCTCTACCCCCACCCGATTTAATTTCTACACCTCACTACCACTTTAATTGACCTGACTAACGCTCAATTTCTAGTCATTTATGTTACGTCATCCAACTTAATTGCTCAATTTCAGTTCTAATTTAAATGGCATTATTCTCTACCCTGCTTCTACTTAGTCTCTACCTGTAATTACCTCTGTTGCTACCCTGACCTAAGTTGAAACATTTTAGTCAATTAAATTACGTCATCTAACTTACTAACTAACTCAATCTTAGTTGCTTTAGTTGCTGTCTAATTAACCTTGTTTCTATATATTAGACCATTCTTGTATTACCTGATCAATTATCTAAACTTGACAAACCTCATGTACACACGTACACACAAATAATTGTATATATAAATGTGATCGCACAGCTGTGTGAATGAAATCGCCACCGAAAAGAGTCTCTTCGCTGAACGTCTTCTCTTTTTCATATGATTGATGATTCACTGGAATACCAAGCTTCTAAAATTTCTCCAGCATTCTTGTTGTTTCCTCTGTCTAATATTTGAACGTTGGTTGTCCCAGTCTAATTGATGTCAGTGGTTGTCTGTATGCAGCGATATGAGCGAGGTAGTGGATGTCATCTCTTTTGACGGCTAGGTTATGTTGATGGATGTGAAGACGAAGGAGATGTCCACTTTGGTCAATGTAGTGTTCTTTGTTGTCGTTGCACCTTATATTTTAGATGACGTTAGTTTTACCTTCTCATCTTTCGCTGTGAAGTCTTTGGTTTACATAGAGCTGAGTGAAGTGATTCTGTTGATTTGTGTGCGACGTCGATTCCTAAAAATTTAAAGAGTTTAGCAGTGATTTCTGAGATTTCCTTTATATATGGTAAGGCGACTTTTTTGTGCTTTCTTTGAGGCCTTTTGGTTTGATAGGTTGGCTTAAGGGTATATTTCTTTTGATGAAATTCCATGGATATGCATTCTTTTAGAAGACGTTCATGAAATATCTTTCTTCAATTTTCTGTAAGGTAGGAATGCTGCAATGAGTCCTGGCCTTCTAGAGTAGTTCTTGTATGCAATTCCTTTTGTGTTATTCGATTGTTGCTGTTGTACGAAATGTAGTTCCAGCGCTGCAATCATTTAAAATCAATTCCGTATGCACTACGATAACCAGTCACTTAGCTGGATGACCGATTGGGGAACCTGATCGACAGGATTTGATCTGTACCAATAAAAGGACAAGACTCATTAAATTGGTTACTATCCAGTGACCAATCGAACATTTCGGGTTTCACTGAAGTTCCTTCCTTAGAATAACCTTCTTGAGTGTTTTCACTAAGCCTTTGTTTAACGCTAGACGTCAGTGACTTAGCGGTAGAATACTCACCAACCACGCTTCGTGTGGTCAGGCGTTCGGTCCTCGCCCACTGACGTACTCCTTTGCCTCGTTAAACCAGTAATAAGACTGGTAAAGAGGAAGGTTGGGCATGAGGCTAGCAACTCCATCCCATAAAAATTATAAACATCGCTGCCATCGAAACTTGAAGCCTCTAGCTTGAAGTCACCTATGTTCCAGTAGGAACTCAAAGAAATAAAAATTTAAGAGTTTACTTGTGCAGGTAGTGCGTCAGTAGTTCAGGGATGGAATATCTACCAGCCAGCCAAAAGTTCAAGGTTCGATTCCTGGCTGACTCACCTTACCTCACCTTTTGTTTCTATATCAAATAAACTCTCTTTACTAATTCCATTATGAGTAGAATTTATTTTGATAAAGTCTCACAGTTTTATACGGTAATGTTTTTTATCGAATACCCCTACTTATGAATTATCAAAAAACTTAACTCTAACATTAGGCCCTATCGGAAATCGTTCGAACTCCAGACTAACTAATTCATATGAGATGAAAAATAGACTAAATGACATTCAACTAGAGAATGATGAAAAAATGCTTAGCTTTGATATAACCAGTCTTTATATCAATATACCAGTCAATATGGCCTTAGAATCAGTTAAAAAAGAACTAACTGCAAATCCTGAACTCACTCATAGGACAAAGATGCCCATTGAAGAAATTTTTTCAGGATGTCAGTTATGCCTTACATCAACCATCTTCAAATTCCAAGGCAAAATATATAGACAAACAAAAGGTGTAGTAAGGGGATCACCAATATCCCCTATCGTAGCAGACATATTTATGGACAGCTGGGAAAATAGTGCCCTCAATACGTTTACTCCTACTCCAAAAATAATGGTGGAGATATGTGGATGACACCTTCACAGTGTTATAAACAGAACATATCTCTAGCTTCTTGACACACATAAACTCACTAGTGGAGGGAATAAAATCCACATTTGAATCGGAAAATGAACAAGGAGAATTAGCTGTGATGT